TCAATAACACCCACTACCGAACAAAGTTGTAAATTTTAAAGTGAAATTACGTACACCATCTGTTGAATGAATATTTGTAAGTCAAAATCCTCAGATATCCTTGTACAAACGTTCTTTGTTAATAGTTTGCTTTGGTTTGGCTAAATCTTTTAATACTGATCTTGTTGGCACACGCACTTGTTTGATTAAACTTTTGTTCTATTTATTGCGCACAATTTTTGGGGATCTTCTCCCGTGTTGTGCATTTAGTGTAGTGTATTGGCCCTTTTTGTTTAAACCAAGTTTTTGTGCATTCGAAATAACATGTGAGTCATTTTATGATAAAGAAAAAATATTAACAAAGAAAATAACTAATTTGAAATGATCAATCTGTTACTGGCGACAAAAACGAAAGTGTTCCATCGAAGGGCACCAGGAATTATGGTTAAATTGTATCAATTCTATAACAACGCGGAATCTATCCCACAATGAATTCTAATGGAACCTTACAGATTCTTTGTCTCAAGTACAAAGTGTTAAGGCCATTTGGGCTTCCTCGTTCGATTTGATCGAATTTTCCGCCTTCACACATTGCTATGAGGCATGAAGTTATTTTAATTTCAACTGCCAGTGTTTATTCCTCATGTCATGCTCGTTTTAATTGTTCATAATGGATAGAAATAATTATGTTGCATACTTACCTATTACTCGTTTGGTGACCTAGAGAAACCATGAAATTATTCGATTATTTTCATACTATGTACTTCAACTACTTCAACAGTTTAAACGAATCGATCGATTCGTAAAAGATTTCACGACCTTCCAAATCCGTTTATCACGTAAGTGAAAACTAGGAAGTGTATACATATTCCATAATCTATGTTAACAAAATAAATCACTATGTCGGAGCAGTTTGTGGTGTAAACACGGACAAGGTCGAGCGCCCGTCTGCAGCAAATAAAGTGATGGACTGTTACAATGGCAGTCGTATTCATGCGTTCAAAACAGACTTGTTCTGTTCTGGACACCATGAGCAACCCTCGGTCGGACACGATTATGTATGAATAGCCGCTAATTTCACTTCAGAAAAGAAAAGGAAAGAAGTGACAAATTGTATACATTCATCAGATTTATAAAGTTACAGGTTTATTTAACTATTCATCTCTATAAAAGTTATTTAACACAAATCTGGACATCTCGAGCTACATAATCGCAATATTATTATGTACCTACTTGTAGAATTATGCCAAATTAATTATCAAAGCGTTGACCTAATTCGCAGTTCGTTTTCTTAATTTTATTTTACTATTGTATTATAAATATATGCATATTTTACAATTGAGATACTATTGAAGTCGTTAATTCTGACAATTAATTTAACTTTTTGTCACTTATGTAATACTTATGTATTTTATGTACATATATCATTCAATTATCGCCTAAACGTACTTTTGCTCTTCTTTTATCAGCGGCAATAAACGTTGCATTGTTTAACAATTTCAGTTCGTTGTTGTTCTTTATCTGGATACCGTTTTCGTTGATAATATCTAATATAATATGCTATTCACAAACACCAAAGTTCTACACTAATCCACGCTTAGTAAACACTTCGCGGTTCGGACTAGAGTAATTTTCCTCTGGCGTCGTGAGTCACCGCTGCCGCATTGTTTATATTATTTTAAATTGGTATCATTTGAGATACGCTGTGTAGAAACAGCAGGTTGGCAGCACGTGTTCGAACTTCAATGTAAACAACCGCGCCAAACTAATAAGCTTCTAGTAGCAAACTACTCGTATTTAAGTAGGTAATGTTACCTTCAGGTAACAATCTACCTTATGTACTAGTAGATTATATTTTAGAAACATTTTCTTAGATATTCCTATCTAAATAGTTTTACTTTAGCATTTATTGTGTCGCTATCTTGTAACTACTATTCATATTTGATAACGTCTATAGAACTCTCCTCTTTATACGTGTCCAAGTGTCAGATAGTTGTAGCTTCCAACATGGCAGCTGTTATTGCCACGGCCGCAAACAAAGAAATGATAAAACGATAATGAAACGCCGCTCATGTTGCCAACAAAGGGATGCCCACATTAGTATTTTCAACTGTGACATGAGTGACTAAACGACACATGTACTTCTAGATTGTTTTATCTAATGTTTATTGTAAACATGCCTCTTTGTACAGCTATAGCAGTTAGAACTAGGTTGGAGACAGATAATGCGCAAGAATGTTTACAATTCTAACATTATTTATAAACTGCGCTTTGAAACTTCCTGCAGTTGCACATATTCTATTATATATATCTGTCTATATTAATTTAATGTTGTTTTCAATTTCTTACAAAGCTTATTCCACACTTTTTCATCTACAACGCGCTGTTTTTTAACATGAACAAAGAACTAATTGCAAACGTGTATAAAATGGTCTCATTGTTTTCAAGTTATCTATGTATAACAGATGCATCTAGTACCTCGCATTTTCCATTCAACATGTATGTTAATCACAATCAAACCTTTGGCAGTGGTAGTGATAATGGCCGTGAAATTGACAAGCAATCTTATTAACATACGCTGATAGTCCTTTTTAACCGACTTCAAAAAAAGGAGGAGGTTCTCAATTCGACGAGTATTTTTTTTTTTTTTTTTTTTTTTTATGTATGTACACCGATTACTCGAAGACGCCTGGACCGATTTGCAAAATTTTTTTTTTTATTCGATAGGGTATACTTGCCATTTGGTCCCATTGTCATGAGGTCAGGACCTGATGATGGAATCCTGGAGAAACCGAGGGGAACTTTCGAAAATTGTAGGGGCAAGTAGTTTTTTTGTATGATGTTTAAGTAGGCCTTTAACAACACTACAACTTGACGAAGGTCGAAGTCGACCAGATGTTGGAGCTGGCAGACAGTCGAGGGATCTCCTTGACTATTTGGAGCAGTTGCCTTGTGTTTGGGCTTGAATGATTCGTATTGGCGAGCACTTTGCACCAGACTTGGTCGTAACTATCATTAAGGGTCTGATGATGAGAACTAAGGACAGCTCAGGGAACTCCTGAACGGTGTACAGTAACTACTTCGTGTTTGAACTTAATTCATTTATGTTGATGAAAACTTTGTACCTGTATGGATTATAACAACTGAAGGTCTGCAGTGTACCTGACGATGGAGACCATTGACAGTCGAGGGAATTCCTCAACGATTCATAGCAGCTTCCTTGTGTTTGAGCTTAATTAATTGGTTTTGATAATAACTTTACATCTAGATGGATTGTGACTATCATTAGAGATCAAGACGAAGGACAGTCTAGGGAACTCCTCAACGGTTTACAGTAGCGACCTCGTGTTTGGACTTAATTTGTTTATATTGATAAGAACTTTCCCTCTCCTAGAGAGGTGGCTTGTGACCCAGTAGTGGGAACATTAAAAAGGCTGATGATGATGATGATGATGATGATGATGATGATGAGAACTTTCCCATTTCTTGGGATCTATATTTTTTAATAGAGCGGCTCCTTTCGCAGGCCTACACATAGCTACTTAAAAATATATATACTATTCAATATGTTAATTTATATTTAAAATGTTACTGTAGTTTACAGAAGAACTTGTAACAGACACTAAAAAGTAAAAAATAAAAAAAAACTGCGTTTAAAAAAACCGACTTCAAAAACAAAAAAATGTCAAATAATTAAAATAGATATTTTAATAGCACTCTTACGTACGCGAAGCTAATACTTTTAATATTAATAATAAAACACTATCAATTCTATGTGCTACCTATTCATAGGTTTGAAGTCGGTGCCAAGCCCTAAACAGAATAAAACTAAATGAGAATTAAGACTGTTTAACTGCTAAAGGACGAAATTTCCACAACCAACAACGAACCTACCTACTACTACTTTTAACAACCCACGAGTTACGTTAAGTACGAGAAAACTTTTAGAATTCATATTTCACCCGAATATCTTTCTAAGCTATATATAATTTCGCATGTAACGAAACAATATAGACTTCTGATTCTACGCTAAGGCCATCAATCAAATGCTTATAATATTATGTATTAGGCTTGGCACCGACTTTAAACCTATGAATAGGTAGCACATAGAGTTGATAGTGTTTTATTATTAATATTAAAAGTATTAGCTTCGCGTACGTAAGAGTGCTATTAAAATATCTATTTTAATTATTTGACATTTTTTTGTTTTTGAAGTCGGTTTTTTTAAACGCAGTTTTTTTTTCGCATATAGGTACTTATATACTTGACAGCCTATTGATCGTGGAGTTCCACGTAGGCGTAAGCGACGCAGCTCAAAATAAAAGTTTGCCAGGCTAAGGAAATTAAGTTACCGACAGGCTACGGTAAAATTCCGGAGGCTCGTTAAGAGCAAACGTTTTATTACTGACGTTTATAAAATTTACGACAAACGACAATAATAAAGCAAGCTAAATACGAACAATAATAATGAAATCGTACATTACGTCATTGATTTGAATTTACGACGCGTTAATTTTAATGACAAAGTAAAACTAATGTGTAATTGTTTGGAAACAAGACATATTCTCTGAATGTCTGGTAACCCTGTCTAAAATAATATTTTATCACGTGGAAAAGGAGTGAAACTATTCCGATGATTGATGTGATACCCTAAACATAACGTCTCAACGATTTATTTTTAGATGATTTTGTTTGCCGTTATGATATGACTCGTCCATGAAGTGACTCGAATGTTTGCGCAAATTAATTTTGATCGTTGAAACTGGCACTTTGGGTGGGCATGATAACTCATAGCTATGAAATATTAATTTCTATATAAATGTTTGCATCTTCCGTGTATTTGAAATCAATACCTATCGTCAATTTCCAATGGGTTCTCCACCGTTGTGAATTCCCTATAGCATATACAGAATACTGCAATGTAACTGCATTGTGGTTCAGGGTGCGCGCGTCGCCATTATCGAGAGCCGCAGTGGTGATTAAAAATATACGTATTTAAACTATGCTTTTCATTGTTACAGACGGAAAGTGAGACGTCATGCGAAGAAGCAGCAAGACTGACGGCGGAAGGCGCAGCCGCAGACGCCGACGACGATGAGGCCTACGACTATGGAGCCCTGCCCCCGCCCCCCGACGGGGGCTACGGTTGGGTCGTGGTCTTCGCATCTTTCATGTGCAACATGATTGTTGATGGCATAGCCTATACTTTCGGCATATTCCTACCAGAACTAGTGACGTACTTCGGCGAGGGTAAAGGCACTGTCGCGTGGGTCGGCAGTCTTCTATCAGGATTTTATCTAGCGGCCGGTAAGATTTATTATGATTGATAATAATTTATTGCTTACTCTTTGTTTTGTAATTGCCGATATTAAGTGCGTTCGTGTTACACGAACATCTGTATTCTAGTTTTATCAGGGTAGCGTAGATGACCACTAGATAATTGTATTTTATTCATGTATGGGGAGCGATGTGTGAAGGATGTACCTACCATCATCCGACGGATGGATCTAAATTGATAAACGGTAATTGACTTTACCTTTAACATTCCTCCTTTTTGGACGACATTGCAATCGAATCGTTCGTTCATTTCCTTTCAATTCGGGTCACGTTGTCACATGCATCAATCCATTATTCATGTGTTGCTTGTTTATACCTACGTATTTAACTAGAAATGTATGCATCCAGTGTGCATGAGGACACAAGTCCATTAATATTCTAATAAATTGCGGTATTATCATATTCAAGATACATTAAATAAACTGATTACTAGGTTTCAATCTACCCGGTCGTTTTTTACGTTAACACACTTAGTTTTACTTATCTATTGAGCCAAAAGCGTCCTATCTATAAGATCTAAAAAACCCAGTAGTCCACAGCAAATATTTATAAAACATGTCATACCTTTGATTACTCGAGTTTGTGTTTTTACACAAGATAATCTCAAAAGATATATACTTTAATCTGCTCGACTGATAACGTGTTCGTATAGTAATTCTAATTAACATTTGATGCGTATGCAGTAAAATGAAATAAGCGTATCGATGTTATAAACGTAGTTCATTATGAGTGGTAGCTTGAAGCCGTTGTGATAACCAAGTAAGCACACAGTATTAGTGGCAGATACGTAAATCCATCCGGATTAGTCAGAAAATGGCCACACAAGTATTTTATGTTGCTCTTGGCATAGAAATATTTATTATATTTCGTCGCGGTTTATAAACCGCATTATTAACTCAATCTGAGAATAAAAGCCATGACTCAAAGACCGATAATCTTATTTGTTTCTATGCTAAAGTGGTAGAAATTGCTTATCAACTTAATTGTTGACTATCATCGTTTTGTAAGCTTACCCATCACAATTTTATCCGTCCTACGCTATCATATTTTATCTATTTTAAATTGCCATTGACCTGATTGAAAGTACTCGATTACGATCAAAGATATGGCTACGGCCTGATAAAAAATGTGTCCTAGAAAACAGTTTTGCTATGAAGAAGCGTGTTATATAATTTTGTATATCACAACGAAGGTATCTGAGACAGGATGACCTAGCATACTGACCCAACATTTCGATGAACTCTTATCTTTGTGCGAACTTTGATTTAGGATAAAATATTATTGTTAATATATATGTTTATGACGTATGGAAATAATATACTGTTCTGAATCGAACTGACATTTTTTTTGTTGAAATGGGTTTTGTCTTTGGGGCCGGCGCTAAGTTACGTTACAAATAAACTCTGGCTATGTATGTGTACCTACATATTTTCGTCAGAAAGACTCAGGTTTTTTCGTTAATCAGTAATTTAGATCTTGTCTTTACGTAGTTTCGTATGTTTATCAACTCAGTAACACATGATTAATATATAATTATCTTTACTTATATAAAAATATGCTTGTCACATATTTAACATGACGTAATCGTATCCCGTAATCATGATTATAGCTTAAATTGTTGCTAGCGATATTCAAGATAAGACGACAACTAAAAATAATTAAATGTTTTAGGATTAGTTTCAGTTCATGAAGGTTGAGAAATATTAGTCAAAAGACAATACTGTTTTTATGCGATACGCTGGCAACCGAGCCGGCGCATTAACTGATGGTAAGCAATCTGCGCCGCCCGTCCGCATATGGACCACCGCAACACCAGACAAGTTGTATGTGTGTTTCTGGACTTTGGGGTTTTGAAATGTAAAAAAGATAATTCACCTAATTCACATGGCGAAACACATTACTGTGGTTATTTCACGCCGGTTTTCTACAAGGCTGTGGTATCACTCCGATCGAGCCGGCCCATGAAGGAGCATGGCTCTCTCACAATAATTATCAGTTGGGTTGTTTATTTATTTTGTTTTAAATAAACCAATTGTCTAGTTGCTTAACTAGACTATCGGTTTCCATATCCATAATTATGTCGTCAACATTTATGGTTATAAATGTTATGGTTATAAATGTTGATGACAAAATTATGAGAAAAGGTTACGCACAAGACTGCCATCTTGATTATTATTGACGTCCAAGTTATTAGACCCTAGTTGGGCGTCAATAGTACATTGATAGACCAATTTACACATTCATTTTAATTCAAACATTTTATTATAAAGTGGTCTCATTCGCAACCATAAAAAATTGCGTGAAAGCTCCATCATCACCACAGCAAATTTTTTTTGCAAGATGTAACACTCCTATGTTTACTACTATTATGTACTATATATATTTGTGACGACTCATCGATTCCCTGGACTCGATTCTAAGAATGTATTTAAATAATATGAGTAGCTCAGATCAAGTTTGTAATGTAGGTTTCAGTACCAAGGTGGTCACCTGACTGTTATTGATAATGATTATACTCAATATCTTCATACCATAGCTTGCGTGAGAAACTGATATTACATTAGACATTTAATTGTATATTTAAGCTAATAACTACTAAGTATCATTTACACTACTGGACCAATATCAATGACCCATTAAGAGAATCCTTCACAAGAAAATCTACAAGTTTATAATGCAACTATTTTATTAACTGGTTCTCCACAATTCAACACTTCGATTCTTGAAGTCTTGCTTACATAAACATTAGAGCTCCATTACCTACATTTGTACATTGAAACATAGTTTTCTTAATTAGTTTTACTGTTAGCAAAATTCATTTCGCTTTAATTAATTGCGATTTGATTAAAGCTCAAGCCTTAATCAAAATTGTATATTCAGCTGTTTATTTAAATGGAACCCTTTTGAGTTATGTAAACAGTTACGTAGACTGGTTTTCTTGGGCTTGTTTTTAAAGTAAATCAATGTTGTTCGCAGGTCCTGTTGTTTCGGCGTTATGCAACAAATTCGGGTGCCGAGCAGTTTGCGTGGCTGGGTCGTTTGTAGCTGCTGCTGCATTCGTCCTTTCCACGTTCAGTAAAAGTGTCACAATGATGATGATCACTTATGGGTTGATCGGAGGTGAGTCTTTATTTTTTTATTAATTGTGCAGCTTTTAAATAAGCCTTACAAGCAGTAACCTATCACTGTTTAATTCAAGAACATCCCGTGAATTACTGCGGTTGCTAAGTATTTGTAGAGCAATAAAAAACAAAATAAAGTTAGAATGTGAAGCATAAAAGATCTGCTTTGTTGTTACAAATTACCGTTAAGTTTAAGTTACAAACACAGATAGGCTAGATTGCTACGATCACACTGTTTAATGCCTTGAACACTGATCAATTAATACATATTGATAGAAGTGAGCTTTTACGTTCCTAAGCGTGCGATTCTAAGAACTAAAAACTGCGGAAGGATAAAATTTTATTGATATTTCTTGATAAATCAATGATGTGGGAAGTAAACTACAAAAACGAGGAGTAATCTTATGTATTTCCATCAATCAATGTCAGGGGTACTTTGACGTAATTCGTTGGTAGGGTGGTAGGATCACCCATGGATGAGGAAATCTTTGAATTTTTTTTATCCCTCGCATCAAAACGTCTCTCGCAAGTTGGTGTAACCCCTGGTGCAAATCGTATGGCTTCATAACTCTCAATTAACAATTGGAAAACTTTCAAGACCTAACCACCTCTCCCTCATTTCTACATGCTGCTGAAATGAACAACGCTAACTAGGATAGATTTTTAAGATATTCTGATCAAAATATTGTGTTTCACTGAAATTAGATATTGATCGAGAATTCCAAGAATGCTCATATGTATACCTAAAATGTTTACTCACGTCAGGTTTAAGTATGTACTCTGATATTCACATAAAAATTAACGAGATTTTTATTTTTATGCCCTCCAAATTTATTGGAATTTCCAGCATAAAATGGCTGAAATATTTCACTCGAGCGGATACACGTCATTCAGTTTACGTCGGAGAGACAAACAGATTAGCATTGTGAAATGTATTGCCAAACTGGACTTTGTCTCTAGAATTTTTTCCTCAAAGAATTCTGCTTCTATTTGCTGTTTTTTTTAAATTTTCATCTCTATTAATTAAGCTGTAAAGACTCGTCATGTATCGACTTCAAGTATATTTAGAATGGCTTGGCCATAAAATAGTTTCGCAGGACCCATATGGAACGTGTGAGCTATGTAAATGCCCGTTGGCCTTGGCACGTTAGCACAGTTATGGGGTGGCGTCACCAAGTCGCGGCCAGCCGTCCTTCGAACCATACCACGCCGACTTAAAGGATATAGTACAATATCTGCCTGCCAATACCCGCAAACGGCCATAATAACAGATGTAAAATAAGGTCAAACGGTACCATTCTGTGACTGTTAGATAATAATTATACAACTGGTAATGTCGGTATTGAGATACGTAGGTACAATATGGCGACATGAATATGAATAATTAACGCTTCAGGTTTCAAATTTGACGTAGCAACAACTACTTATCATATTTGTGCGAATAAATATGCAGATTATTATAACAGCTCACTCATAGACATGACTCAAATTATTATTTCCGTCATAAACACATCAGTCAAATACACAATGAATTCATGAGAGTAAAATTGTAGTGTTATGTACAATAATTAAATTGTTTTATTTGACTGATATTAAGTCACTGGATTCAGTTTTTTTTTAATTCCACCCCCTAATAATATTAACGGAACGTAGTGCCACAGCTTAATACATTTATATAACACAATCTATCTATTTTGGTTTTTCATTGAATGTTTAAACTGTTTTTCGGGAATTAAAGCATTGTTACGATGCCATTCAAAGTGTTCTTTTAATTGTATTGTGTGTGTACAGATTCATTGACAATAAAATTCCTATTTCAAATATTTTCGAGTGCAGGATTGTGTACTTGGTAATAATTTGTTGTACATACACGAGAAAGTTTTCTTATAATGCTTCTTATATTGACGTTAATACGGTTTATTGTGATTTGATTGAAGTTTGTTCTTATTGTCCAAGTTAGATTACTTTTTATAAAAAGCAAATGTCTACAGACTTTTCCAATACTACATATATTGTTAACTTAAAATCGCCTCTGTAGTTATTTCGACTACTTCGACGATCTACTGCATATTCTGCTGTTCAACTGAGCGCGAAATCTTTATTGCGAATCATTTGTCGGTTCATTTGAATACAGGAAATTTTAACACCAATTGGAATTCTATTTAAATATTTCAATTATCCGTCCCTTAGGAAACGGGACGTTTGTAATTCTTTAAATCGATTTATGTCGTTGGAAGAAAAAAACTAGTGATGTTATAACAATATTGTCTGATAACCTTTGAGATCCCAGAGGAAATTACTAGCGATCGATATAGGAGTGCTGCACATATTAATTACATAAACGCATGGCTTTCCACTACCGCAATTACGTCTGTGTCACTGTCATGGTCACTGTCAACTACAAGGGGTTGAAGTATGTACTAAGGACGCAGTATGAAGAGGATTCTCTATATTATCCGTTTCTAGTTGGCTGATCAATTTAATGACAACGAATACGAATGGCTGACCAAAAAATAATAACCAAACGCTGGCTTGGACGTGAAATTTGACAGCTAGTTAGTTACCTTAGGGCGGCTTTTACGTAAGATTTTTTTCAATCACACATTTTGCGAAAAACTTAGGCGTGTTTGTATGTAATCCGTTCCTACCGTCGACCCTCAGAAGAGACAATATTTGTACTTTATTCAAACAAACTTGTAGGTACCTCGAGGAAGATTCATTGGGTTCTTATCCTGTCTTTTGTTCGATAAACCAAGATGCGTCAAATATTAAAGAGTTTCGACACGTTCTTTGTTCTCTCAAACCCTTGAAAGCAGAGGCAACAGCCTCAGTGTGAAATTGGACATTTGCCAACAGACACTTATGTAAACGAAAAGGTTTAAATGACGTTTTAGTTCGAAGTGGTAAGCCCTTCTGGCAATTAACTGAATTCGAGAAACAGCGGGGTTTTCTATTCGCCAAATGCGCTGCTGTCGCCGACGATTTAAATAACTAATACAGACACGCTAGACTACTGCTACGGATGTCGTTTTGTAGTACAAACGCCTGTTTTACGAAAGTGGAAAGTTTCTTGGAAATGGACTCTGTATTCGCAAAACTTTATGGAATACCTTTCTTCAACTGCCGTTTTGAAAAGGAGGTTGAAAGCGAGTGTGGAGTGGAATTCGAGGAACCCTTTATTAAGCTAATTACTTACCAGTGTCAGTGCTCACAGGGTGTATTCTTATTCTAGAATAAACATTTCTCTAATTGGTAGTAAATTAATCTTCGTTTGCTCGATTCACTTAATTACTTGACAAATGAAGAGTCTGTGGTGTATATTGAAACTAATTTCAAGGTCATTAAGAACACGGGACACTTGGCAATCTGCCAACTGTTGCAGACAACATGGCGCCTTACTAGGCTAGAATATTATATTGTATTGAATTGTACACACAACACAACTTACACACTTCATCTATTTTAAGATTTAATAGCTGGCAAATGATTATTTTCAATCCCGCACGGGATCGTTAATAGAATTTCCAATGTGACCTATTTCTTTTATCGTACGGCCGGCCATTCAAGGTTTTAACGATGGAAAAATACGTTGTCTTCGTTCTCAGTTCAAATATTCTCGTCTAAAATATTATTCGTGTTACGGTTATGTCACTGTCGTATAAACCCATAAAGCATTCCAGATTATGATCATTTCCCGAGCTTTAAAGAAAATCGTGAATATGAAATCACTACTTATATGAAAATCCCGAGAAATATACTAAGACATCGTCTTGTTAGTATTTCCTTAATCATAAAGGTTTCAATGTTTAGCACGTCTATTTAACACCAATTTTAGTGATCCCAGCTCGCCGCCAAACGGTGAGGTCATCAAGTCTCAATGTCGACAGAAATATAGTTCAACTATTCAAAACTATGGATAACCTAGTATAGTAAGAGTCTGACACTCCCTCTCCCCCTACCTAAAAATCGTTCCATCATATGATGATTCCCCTCCCCCCCCCCCCCCAAAATAAGCTCAAGTATTCAACATTTATCAAGTTTTATATGGGAGGTATTAATAACATCTATTCTATTTGCCTATTATATTCCTAAAGCGGCACCAAGTAAAGTTTGACAACTTCACGCGCTATATATAATTCGATAGGAAAATACTTATTTGCCAGTTGCTAACAAAAACAATAAAACGTGCATAGGTACATGTTGTTGCTTGGTTGCACATAATGTTTTCGAATATCAGCAAAAATATTTTATAATTTCTCGAAATAGTGAACAAAGATTGTACTTGCTAAAGAAAAGAGTCTGGTCTTAAGTCTTGAAAAAAAAAAAACACGAGACGCCGAGGAAACATTTTCTTTCACAAAGACTGTTTTGACCTCGATGTCGATTGCTTCTGTTGTCCGAAGTTTCCAAGAAGCAGTTCAAAAAAATTCGTACAACTTTTCAATCTTGCTGCCAATTATTTGTTTACAAACAAGTCTATTGGAAATTTACTTCGAAACACTTGGGGTTTTTCATTATATCCTCTATGGAATGGTTGAACTTTAAATTAAAGTTTGTTTTATTTCGCATTCGTATCACGCTGACTAACGTACGGAAATTGGTCAATGTGTTTGTGGATGTTTTGAAGAGAATTTTCTTATCTCTTTGTGACTTAAAACATTTTATGTAGGTATTCATAAAAGTCAAATCAAGTATTTGTATTGGTAAGATAATTACTTAGTATTACTTTGTTGAGTAATTACCTATCCTATAAACATAGTGGTTTACATAGTTTTCTTCATTTGAAAAGAATCTGGGTGAAATGTCGATTCATTGCCCCGTTGCCAGCTGCCAACATTGTGTGTAAATTGATGATTAATTTATTTGATGAGAAATGTGGAATATTGTACTGGGAAGTGACGCATGCGTTTATAAAGTGGCGACGACCTCTTTGTAGCAGGCAACAACCCATATGCTCCTTTGTGTTATTTCAAATACAGATTTGTGGGCCGACAACAAACACTGATGACTCACTGCATATCATATTCTGAATTATTTTCATGTATTATGAAACTAATACTACTAAAACATTGTCATAAAATTAAACTTATGGGATAATTATTTTCCTATTAATTTCATGGCGTTAACGGCTTTTAACGACTACATTAAGATGTTGCTCAGTAACTAATAACTAGCCAAGGCCGTCTACAGGGACGACGTCAGAAGGGGTGTTACTTGTTTGAGTATCGATGGGGATGAACGTGGGAACGTCTGCAGCGATTTTACAAATATAAATCACACAATCATAAAAATTATGCAACTAGTAGTTCTCAGTATGCATGTAAATACAACAATTGTATAATTGTGACAAGTGAATAACTCTTATATCTTATCTGAACCATTTTGCTCTAATTATTAAACGAAATATATGTTATAGGTATTATTTGAATAATCGATAAGGAGTTCGTTAGCATATTGTTTATACTGACTTACAAAGCATAATGCCTTCTTTTGAAAGAGTATCTTTCCAGTGTGCCGTAAAAGTACTTTTTTTATTCATGAAGTGAATAACTCTTATATCTTATCTGAACCATTTTGCTCTAATTATTAAACGAAATATATGTTATAGGTATTATTTGAATAATCGATAAGGAGTTCGTTAGCATATTGTTTATACTGACTTACAAAGCATAATGCCTTCTTTTGAAAGAGTATCTTTCCAGTGTGCCGTAAAAGTACTTTTTTTATTCATGAAATTTAAGAATTCTTTGTTTATTAAGGCATCGATGACTTGGTCCTAACGATGCAAATCTGATGTCAATGCCCACGAGTCAGACCAGAGAAATACCGGCGACTGGATGACGGTCTGTGTTTTTATCGCACGCCAAATGATGTGACGTAGTCATCTCAGGCAAATTGGTCAAAGTTCTCTGTAATTTGGGAGTGTGCCAAATTGAGCAACTGCCACTAATCATAGTGTTTCACCTCTTTGAAGATTTTGTTTTGCATAGCGGCACGAGTTCCAAACGTATGCAAATGTCGGTTGCGAACTTGTGATGTTGGTTCCTACTTAGTCTGCGAAAATGTACTGGACAATTTGTGAGTCACGGATGAATGAACTCCTGGTTTAAATGGGAACAGAGTCTAATTTCTATTCAAGGTTTTGTCACATCCAACTTTATAAATACAGTCTGTAACACAAAATTAGTCATGGATCCCCTTACAATCCTATGCCGATGCCTAGGATTTAAAACTACTGCTCCTGTGGTACCTTTTGTTGACAGAAAAACAAAGTAGCACATTTTGATTGACCCATTGCACACATCTATACATGGAAGTAGCAATTTTATCTAAACAATGTTTCAGTATGTCAATTCAAATTACGCAGTACATGAACTACAAAGTAGGTTATTATTATTTATTATGAATTAGGTTCACAAGGCTTACTATCAGCAAAATAAACACGTTATTTTCCTCCTCGATTAAACATGAACTTTGTTACAGGCCTTGGCTTCGGTATGATCTACCTTCCTTCTGTGGTTGCCGTGGGTTACTACTTCGAGTCCCGGCGATCCCTCGCTACGGGTATCGCTGTCTGTGGCTCGGGAGTGGGCACCTTCAGTTTTGCGCCCTTAGCTGCCTTACTGCTCAATGAGTTTGGATCCTGGCAGAATGCTAACTTGTTATTAGCTGGCCTGATCCTTAACTGTGCTGTTTTCGGTGCCCTAATGAGACCTTTGGTCTATCCTAAGGTATGTATTTCACTTTGGCATATATACATTTTAATTATTATCAATTGTTCAACAGGTATTAGTACTGTCTGGTTTGTAAACACGCAAGTTTCTTAGTAGGCTGAGTAGTCGCTTTGTGCGACTGTCTAGTTAGTTTAGTTTTGGGTTTTAAAACCGGATTGGGAGAAAACATTATTGGGTGTTTAAATTCCTTAACAAAAAGGCTGATCTTCTATTAATATTAAACATTAATAAACGCATCTCTGCCAACCGTCTTTCATATAATCACGTGATTTTATGTTATACGCAATACATTGGCTTGCTTCACTCATTAAGCTGGGTATTCATGTCAATTAATAAGGATTTCTCGGTCTTACTGTACAGCTGTATACAGTCTGTCTCCGTCCTAAGTTAGTTAAGCTCCCAGGATCAGCTAGTTTGTAAATGCTCTTTATATTAAATACATAAAATACGCTTGTATATAATACTTGAGGAAATACCTATTTGATTGATAGTCTATAGGTATGCTTCATCATTAAATAACTCATGCAAGGCGCAGTGAGTTTGTAAATATAAATAACTAGCATCCTGCTTGCTTTTTAGTTCCTGATTCTGTTCCGACCTTCATGAAAAGCGTATGCTATGCTACTCCTTGAAAAGTAAACTTAACGAAGGTTAAAGAATTTTCAAATTGCTCTTAATAGTTTAGTAGCCTGTTCAGTGACAGTCAATATTTCATCTAATATAAATAAATAATATAAGTTTATGTTATTTAATTCTTATAAGTAATGGAATTAAGGTCATTGCTCTGTACTACCTAGATACAGTACTTATACCTATTCTTCAAAGCACCTGTATTAGTTAATAGTTTGTGTTTTACCACAAACCTCAATAAGTACAAGAAAACGATTGCTCATCTTATATTTTATATACCTAAGTTATTCGTTAGGTAGAAATTCACTCTGTATATTGTTTACATAGGTAGTAGAGTACTTATACAAGTTATAGGTATATAGTGTGCAGTAGGTAGGTATAATACTTTAAATGATAAACAAGTTGATTTGCTGATCATCGTTATTTGGCTTTATTAATTTGTTTATATAGAAATACTGATATTTAATCAATTAGAAATATGTATTAATTAATTAATGATTTATAGTCTCGATAGTTTGTAACCGGGTTTCATATTTCTATCTGCTTAGCTATATTTTCAGACTGATGTTTGGAATATTTCTTTGCCTTTCTAAATACTTTTAGTATTTACTTCATTCCATATTAAAAATAGACTCGTTATAAAATTTACCAAATATACAACAACTGTAATATAAACTTCCATAATATACTGAAAATCTATTTGAAAAGATATCCTAAATTATACTTAGGTATACTTTAAACCTTTCATTGTTTTTAATGTTTATTTTTTGCTCATATTATGCAGTATCATAAACATCAAATTAAACTTACAGACATCAGGCGAAAAGCCGCTTTTGCAACGTATGGCTGAAGAGAAAAGGTTACAAATGGAAAGAGGTTCCATTGGAGGTTCATACTTCGTGGTCCAGCTCCCAGACGGTACTATGGAGAAGCGGTTGAAGGTGAACGTTGTAGACGATACTGTATGTAGATGCTTTTCACTAATATTTCTATTCTAAGTTCTCTTTTAAGGTGATGCGTTTCGTCTTGTTAATTAAGTAGAAAATGAAATGAGTTTCGCTGTCTGGAACGAACTCAACAATTATTTTCTCAAAATTATGTTTATTTTTCTTGAAGTTATTATGCTGTATGCACTGTACTAGTATTTATTTTCACTTTTTCATAAAACAAAATCAACCAATAAGGTTACATAATAAAAATTCTGCGATGTTAATATTTAATTTGAAGATATTGTGTTTGAAATCAATTTAAATTCCTTTTGATAACTGCTTCAAATTTAATGTTTGCCTGTGAATTAAACATACATGACTGCAAAAGTATAAAATCTTTTGTTCGTAATTAAATTCGTTCTGAATAATAATAAATAAACATGGCACATTTATACAAATGTTCCTCTTTATTTGGAAAAATATTGCTATTTTCACCTATGCAGACGAAACGCATCGTCTCCTTAAGGTGGTGGTAAACTTTACTTATATCTAGCAAACTGCTAGGTACTCTTTCTTAGTCCTGTCTATCGGCTTGATGTGCTAACAAAATTATTAGGAAGCATGTTTGGAATACGTACGTACTTTGTGCATGAAAATTTTAGTTGACTTGCACTAGACAAAGGATAAGGGCGTAAAACAACATGTCATTAAATTTTCTTTCAAACTGAACAGATCATTAGGGATTTTCTACTTTTAAAATTTAATGTCATGGATAACGATTATTATTATTTCTTTGTAACGTTTGGATTAATACATGGTTGTTTATGCACCCACGACACAGGAGGAAATCTTAGTGTAAAAAACCTGTGTGTAGAGCCTGAACGGAAATTGTAACCAATTATAGAATGTCATGTCGGCTAACTGTTTGAGGTATAACTCAGTTCTATGATACTAGATTTGCATCATAATTAGATAGGTTAGCTACTTATTGGACATATTAAATGTTTTACGCCTTTACTCTTACGAAGTGTGAATCATTAGAAAAAAAAATGGCTTTTGATGGTCTTAGCACATTTAAACCCTAATATTTTTTAGTTTCGATCAATGTATTAGATTAGTTAGAACTAATAGCAAAATTTAATTTATGCTGAAGCCCTAAAATGTTGCATAATGTAGAACGACCACAAAATGACAATAATTATTAAATATTTTATAAAGAAAATGATTCGGCAGTTTGCCTCTTTCGTGGATAATGTTCATATATTATGCAGCATTCGTATGCCTCATCGAGGGCAATGGCTTCGTACGATTGGCAAGCTTCATTCCCCTTTCTTTGTCGCTATTATTATCGCTAAGTCTGGTATTGATTGTATTTCTTCAAACTTTCCTACCTGTACGGAAACGGGACACGCGAACATTTTCTGTGAATGCTATCTTTCAACTTTTACTGTCGCATTAGGTATAATGGTGCATGAATACGACTCCGTATTGGTAGTTTTAATCACGGAGCAAATAGGTACAAAGATTTGCTTCTTGGTTGTAATACAGTCATACCTCGAAATTTAAATCGATTGTGAATCGCTTAATACAAAATTGAACCTAATGCAGTAGTACACTAGAGTTAAATTTAAGTGATAAACTGATAATTAAGTTGTTATATGAGAAATAATAATAGTAACGACCCTTAAAGGGATACTACACGGGACATAATATAAGAAAAATAGGTCTCCAAAAAGTAAGGTTGAAAATAAAAGATAAGGAAAATATAAGTGAACGTTACTAAGAGAGCACTTAAAGGGAGCTTGTAAATGTCTATCATATTCTCCATATCTGCAAACTCCATCAACTCAAAACAAAGACAAACAAAAATTCTTAGCAAATGCATGAAAGTGCAATTTTAATTCAAGTAACGTTAACTTATCTCTTCCAATAGGACTTAATTCCACAATTCGAAGTATGACTTTCTGACTTAAAATCGACCTTGATTACTGAACTTAAAGTTGATATTACCAGGCGCCGCTAAACATCGATCCTGGAGTGCACTCTTCGCTAAACTTGGAAGCGTTGGCGCGAGTACCGACCGTTCCTAACATGCCTGGAGTACCGACTGTGCCTACCTTACCTACCATTACTGAAGCTAAAGTTGCTGATGACGGCGAGGAGAAAAAGAAGGTGTGTAGACATGTAATACTTTAGCATTAGTGACATTTCAAATCTTTTGGTCTATGGATGCCCATCCTCATTTGTTACACATATTAGTCAAAAAATCGACTTATCCTTATAACAATTCATTAGTAATATACATAATATGACATATTATTTTGGCATTTTGTATGTAATTTTGTTTTAATGTTAATCATATTTAATTTACATGATAAGGTTCTCCTATTTAAACGAGATGGGCATTGTGGAATAACATTGACCAAAATGTGCATACGTCTACACATTAGGAGAATTACAATTACAATAATGTAGATATGACCTTTTGTAACCAAGCAGTTGGTTGTAAAACTTTCTATACCTAAGTAGTTCGAAATAATTTTAGGCTAAGTTTGTAGTTGTGTGAGTAATACTGTAACGTCTATAGAGATACAGACAAGTCATAAACTACGTTGAGGGCATCGCTCTTCAGATTTTGTATAAAGCTAATACAAGAACTTTGGCTTTGAAACATCTTTGTCTGCATAAAGGATAAACAAAATAAAAGCTTGCTTACTTCTTAGTTGTTGTTCATATCCTCATCTTTTTGACCTGCGTAAATATTTACCTCCTGTACATTACTAGCTACTGTCACGCGGTTTTACCCGCTGCTCGGCTCCATTTAATCGTAGCGTGATGTTTTATAGCCTATAGCACTAAGGAATATTGTAGCCATCTATCAGTGAAAGAATTTTAGCAATCCGACCCGCGGTTACAAAGATTACCCCCTACATACAAACTTACAAATTTTACCTCTTTATAATATTAGTATAGATAGGAACTTTGATATGCCACTCTGATAAAAATCAAACATTATTACGCTGAAGTTTGTTAAAGAAACCCTTATAACTTGCACACAAATGATTTCAAATCATGTAGGTACAATAGTTACACATCATTTGCCAGCAAATATTTACACTCGTGAGAATGCAAGTTACGTAGGTTATGTACTAATGTATACTTCCCTACACGTGTTTCGCACTTCCACGGTTCAAAGATATTTCTGTGGGCGGTGCACTGTATTATATAACCAAGCTAATTTGATCCCTGTATACATACATGCCTAATCTGTACCTGTATAAAACACGGCAAAATATTGAAATTTAAATTTAGGCTTAAGAATCTACCTTTATAGATAGACGTACACAGGTAATTATAGGGTACTAAAGGTCGTTGACCCAATATCAAATTTTCATATAGCCAACCGGTAATACATACTTTTGCTCATAACATAGCGTACCTACATTAGACGATTTGTGGAACATTACGCACGAAATAAATATTTTTTTGGCTTGTCTGAATCGACCTCTTTGTTCATTGCAGGCAAAATTTCATTTTAAGAAAGTTCACTATAAAGGTGAAGAAATAAAGTTTAAAAATAAATATTGTTGAGGCAGGTCTGGGACGTTTTCTGCGTAGAATATGCCTTTGAAAGTCCTTCAGTAACATCGCTCGATTCTAGGACAGACATGAGTCGGCAAATACGCAAATATATTAGAACTCTTTTTATAGCGGTAAACGAGACCGTACGTAGAATAAAAGAATTTACATTAAATATCATATTTTTTCTCTTTCAACGTTCAAAAATGCTCTCACCTTTTATTGAGATATACGTCAAACGAGTAGGCGGATCAATCGGCGATAGGGATTTGAAGATTCAGAGGTTGGGGATGGGGATGGGGGAGGAAGAGGCTTCTAGTAAGTAACCTTTTCACAAAGCAACGCAAGTGTTACATAAACACAAATGTACTTGACATATTTTACGAGTCGTTTTTTTGTAAATTTATTCTATTATGTAATTAAAAATGTACGTTCTTTACCAACACAAAGTCATAATAAACAGAACACAAAATTAAATTTAATATGGTAGACGTATAACACTCACCCTTAAGAGAATATTAATGAACGTAAGGAGTAAAAGTTTTCTTATTTAAATGTTAATTGGCAATCTAAGTTTCAGTTTGTAGCTCTAATTGATAAGTCTGCTTAATAAGTCCTAGGGTGTAGTTTATTTGCTGTTGGCTGTTACGCCCATTTAACTGTGAATACAAGAATGTGACCTTTAAGTTCGATAAAAACTAAATTGACCCTTATATATACACACATTGGTATTATAATTACATGAAACTTCTATGTTTAGCTAGACACTCCATAATAGGTTTATCTATTATGGGTAGGGGTTTCAGACTTTTTAAGGAAAAAACATATCTCTATAACGGTGAATGTTTTTACTAAGACGTAGAATTAATAAAGTGGGGAATCTCTATTAGTCATATTTAGTAGGTTGAATGGTCTTACATACAATATTTGTGGGACACATTTCTTTAATATCTAATTAAAACTATATACCTTAGTTGTCATATGCGTAGTAAATAAACATCATATATCTATACTAATATTATAAAAAGGTAAAATTTGTAAGTTTGTATGTAGGGGGTAATCTTTGGAACCACTGGTCGGATTGCCAAAATTCTTTTACTGATAGATAGCTACAATGTTCCTGAGTGCTATAGGCTATAAAACATCACGCTACGATCAAATGGAGCCGAGCAGCGGGTGAAACTGCGTGAGGGGAGCTAGTATTATAAGAAAAAATTGAACTATCTAGTCATAAATAACAAAAACAACATTATAATATAAATGCATGTGGTATATATAAATCATAAACATAACATTATTTATAAATAAGTGAACAGTGAGTCAAATTACAAGCAATCACATTGTCCATCAATATGTAGGTGTTATTCTGATTAAAGTTAATTCAATACGCACGTGATTCAAATCGTCCATCCGAGTGATAAATGTGTATGATAAGTGCTATTGGGGAATTTTTGTCACATATACCTAAGTATAGCAATATATAATTCAAGGAAAATATGCGATATTTAGGTTAAAAAAATGTTGGTTATTATTTATTAATCATTAATTCACATTAAACTGGTTGTAATAGAATAGGGTTCATTTATGGACCCGACTGGAGTTGCGGGCAAATTGTAATAATTTACGGTAGCCCTGCTTGAAGCAGGATAAAGAGCAGAGTGCTTTTAAGTCAGTAAAATTCAGACTCACCGTCTCCCCCTCTTCTAGGACGAAATAAGTCATTAGATGATTTCATTACCATGAAAAGAACACCTTGTATATATTTGATTTGCTATAGAGTCCGTTATTTTCCCTTATTTAGGCATTCATTAATACTTCTTTACTAATTAGTAGGGTAGGTACTATATACTATACACTATACTACAGTACCGTTATTTTTCTTCCAGGGCGAAAACGGCAACGTGACAGTAAACCCGCAACAGCAGTTGATGTCCCGCAACGTGTCGTCGCCCGCGTTCAGTGCGCATGCGCCGGGCCTGCCCAAGAACGGCTCCGTGCCATTCTTCGACAGGCAGCGCAAACAAAGCACTGGCGACAGGTCCGGCGATAGGTAGTAGATAGATTTTTCTTATAGGGTATCCTGTCCAAGGGTTTGGTCTTCGTGGGATGTACGGTGGTGGAAGTAACGTATGTTCTAGGATAGTGGTGGGTAAACTTTCCTTTGAATGATTGCAGAATCTAACTGAATTTTTTACGGGTATTTCACATCAAGCTACGGTAAAGAGGAATAGCATCAAATGTCGTCTCTCCTCAGAAAGTGCGTCAGATTCTTACAGACTAAAATCACTCTGTCCTACATCGGCCCTTAGTGATGGTCTGATCACACTTTTTGGTCTCAGTATGCTTAGAGGACCAACGTGTTTGGCGCAAAAATATAACAGTATAATAAACTGCTTCGCTAAATATATTATACTACTTGGTATTTTTGCCAGTATCTATTTTTATTTATCTATTCCCATTTGGAAGGATCGTTGTTCGCCCAAAAAGTAGTTTGCTCACCACTGTTCTAGAAAGTGCTGACTGTTAACTGAGTTAAATCAAGTGGATAGTAGGTAATGGAATTCAAATGTTTTGGACTACTTTACCCTGCTTGTTTTAAGCACTATTTTCACACATTATTAAGCTCAGTTGACAGTAAAAACTTAATATTATGTGTTATGTGGCTCAATTTCTTCGTTCGTGAATGTGTTGCTTATGAGACATCTTAGTTAACTTGTAAAATGTGAAATAAGATACATTTTCGTTCAATCTTCTCCCATTTATGTTCAATTTCTTAAAGAGAAAGCTGTTGTAGCTGTTGTCAAAGTTTTCTACATTTTTTATAAAAATTTCCCCATAAAAATTGCGCATTAGCAATTGATGATTTTATTTACATATCTCAAGAATAATAAAGAGACTGTCAATTTACAACGACAGACTGCTAATAGTAGAATTGATTGGAGAACACAAGCATGAATGGCGCCTTAACGCTTTGATTTAATTGTACAAATGTTTTGATTGAACACGCCGCAAACAGCATAGTGCCGTATAACATAGAAATCAATGGAGACGCTTTATGTATAAACATTTCATGTTAGTTTTCGTATTCGCTTTAAGTCATGTTTAAATTGGCATGTTTAATGTAATGAGTCATTCTATTAGTTAATTGTTCGTACACATACATACTATAGACTTGTTAGTAGGTACCTAGCAAGTAAATGTAAATTAATGCAATGCATGTGTGTGTAAATAGATTATTTATTATCAGTTAATCATAGTTTTAGTTGCAATATGCCGCTTCCTTCCTCATTTACTGATCAAGGAAAATTCTGAAACAATGCAACAATAAATTTATTTTTGCAAATAAGACAGAAAATGACGAATAATGAATGAATAAAAACTTGACGAATATTTCCTATCTGACTTGTCTGAGAAGAAATGCCGAAACAAACTTAGATGTCCGTCTCTTTTAAAGTTCAAGCCTACTCTGGTTTCGATACCTTTACATAAACGAAGTATATTAAACTATACAAAGTCCTTAATGCTTTACTTGCCGTTTTCCTCTTGTGGTAAGCGACCAAACTAATAAGCTCATGCGTGTACATGTATTAATAAGAACTCATTTGAAATTTCAGATTCAAACCGTCCCTGGCTGCAATCAAAGCTACGTCCAAAACTTCAATGAACAGTCAATACAGGAATGCTGATGTAAGTAAACATATAGCATTAATTAAACTACGAAATAGGCCCATAGCGTTAGGCGGTCACTCTACTGTTTCTTTATAGTAAAGGGTACAAAATTATGAGACAAATGAGTACTTCAAGCCTTTTTTGTAATATCTATACAGAAAAATAATATACTTCATCTATATGGGTTATGAGAGAAACTATTTCTCCCTCTTTTCGTTTTATGGATGTAATAAGTATCAGAAATTGACATGATTGAGTTCCCTTTTAAATATCGAGGCGTTTTGAAAGAAGTCTAAAGCGAAAAGAACACATCCCTTCTAAACAACGAAAGTACTTTGTTTTCACAGACACTAAACACTATTAATTCATGTAAACAATTCCAACTAAATATGTCAGTGTTGAAATTGTATTTAGTTCATACCAATTGACCTGGTTCAGATATGACAACTAAATTGTTGTCAAGGGCGTACATATGGTCATAATACTGACATGTGATAATAATGTGTTCCTCAATACTTGTGACCTTGAACTTTTGTAATTGTCTGCCAAATACTCGACTGGCATCAATCCAAGAAAACTGTTCCTATACACAAGTACCGCATAACGAACTACACCTTTTTGTCAATTTCTTTAATACATTTTCGACTTTATGACTCTGTTTTAAAGTTGAAAATATTTACTAGTGTTTGTATATGTTCCAAAAACGTTTAAAATAGATGTCATTAGTTTACTCGAATGTACATGTCGTCAATCATTCTAGACTTTTTTAGAACATTTTAACTTGGAAATTGAGCTAGTGACTGATATTTGTAGGAAAACAAACCTCGTGTTATGAAAAAACTACGAGATAATATCAAGATTTGAACCTTAGTTTAGCATACTAAGCTATATTTACTTTTAATGTTGATATTGGCTAGTACTCCTTGTTGTCATGCATGAGCAAAAAGCTAGACAATATCGCCATCATATTCAACATGTCACAAATGTATGTATAAATAAATAAATACATCTAGGTACTCATATACTTATGAGATGATGAGAAGACTAAATAACGAAGACCACATTGCCACTATATCTATAAAAACAATGTTTCATTAGTTATGACACGTTCAAGGATGATATAAGTGTCTGCTAAAACTTTCCCTGTAAATTTGCATGCAAATGCAATTTTATGACAAAGAAATAAAATAATAGTTATCCAAGAGCAAAATCGGTCGGTAGATATTTACAATATGATGAGTAGAACAAAATCATATGATGAATGAATCGTTATGAAAACTTTATAAAAATAAAAAAAGAAGAATTCATCTTATCTAATAATTTTGTTAAAATTATATTATAAGTGAGTCATGCTAAAATGACACATTTTAAATCACAATACTAGCAATAATAATTGTTTTACTTATTTTAAACTAAATGAACTTAACAGCACAGTGGCGCCGCTTGATGAGCACATTCAAACTCACTTTTTTATCCATATAACAACGAAATGGGAACACATTCGATCCAACTCAGAGTTCCGATGAATAATGATCATGTGTACAATAAAACCGTTCTTCTATTCCAGGGTGACACAGAAAGCATGATGTACAACTCTAAACTCTCCGTGTCTGGTCCTAAGGAACCTTCTCGCATGGTTCGCCCAATGTCCAGAAAAGATATCTTCTACTCAGGATCTGTGCTCAATCTACCTCAGTACCAAAGTCAGAAGTCCCTGCAAGGATATAGGAACTCTGTACTGAGTCTCCCACAGAGTAGACAAACTGGGGACTTGGAGAGGCAAGAGCGTAAGTTTACTTTGTAATTATTTTCTAGACCATGTATGTAGGCTTCTAACTATTAAAATGATATAAATATTTTATCTTTGAACTAATTCTTAGAACAATACAATAAAACTATATTTGTTCCTAGAGAGATAATAAAATTTAATAAAAATCCAAACTAATATTATAAATGCGAAAGTAACTCTGTCTGTCTGTCTGTCGGTCTGTCTGTCTGTCTGTCTGTCTGTCTTTCCTTCACGCCTAAACTACTGAACCGATTTCTGTGAAATTTGGTACAGACATAGTTTGGAACTTGAGAAAGGACATAGGATAGATTTTTATACAAAAAATTAGCAGGAAGTCACTACTCCACGCGAACAAAGTCGCGGGCTAAAGCTAGTAATTTATATAGCAAAGACTTTGAACTAGTGCAGTTTGATGATATGGAATATTTTATCCAGAAAACCATGTGTTTTGGTATTATCGTTTGTCAATACGGTTACTATGGCAGTAGGTTCTATATTTTAAAACATTGACATACTTGGACTTGTGTCAAGAGTCCGGACACCATAGAATATTTGCATATAATAGCCAATGCACTTGCATATTAGCATATTAGCATTGCATTTCAGTCTTATATCTATATAAGACTGAAATGTGAGTGTATGCTCAGTTATAGGGTAAATGAGTTATTTAGTTGATATTATTTTAAAGTTAATAAAATATTATATGTTATATTAATACACAAAGAAAATAAGTATAGCTTACATAAGCTTTTTAAATAATTAGCAATAATTAGAATCACTTTTTTCCTACTTTCAGAATACGACCTATGTCCATGCCTATCGCTTCCTGATTCGTTCAAGTCTGCCTTGTCATCGATGTTGGATGTTAGCTTACTACGCGACCCTGCCTTCATGTTGATCGGAGTGTCCAATATATTCGGTATGGCGGGACTCTACGTTCCATTCGTGTACATCGTCGACGCTGCCCGGCTTAGTGTAAGTATTTTATAAAAATTTAGTTGATAAGTTTATTAACAAACTTTGAGGTAGACTAATTTTTTTTTATATAAAAATACTGGGAAAGGTAGCGGTAGTTTTAGTCGTGAAATTAACGAAACCTATTGAAAATAAAGACTTAATCTCGTGAGTTAACTGAGAAAACTCGACTAGTTTCAAGTCACAAAGGGACTCTTATTCATGTCTAGTGCGCGTCGCGGTGACGTCGTCGTATTTTTAATAAACTAGCCGCCCACCCCCGCTTCGCATGGGTCCCACCCCCGCTTCGCATGGGTCCCACCTATCTCGCTAACAACGAAAGGATCCCTTTTTCCCAATTTTCCCCTCTACTTTTCTAATATTTTCGTTCATAAGAACCTTCTCCTAATAATAACAAACATAACAAAAAAATAATTTGCAAAATTGGTCCACGCGTTGTTGAATTATGAGCTTACCAACACATTTCGCGATTCATTTTTATTTTAAAGATGTAGTATATCTCACAATAACTACTATTTAAAAATTAACGAAACTTATGAAGGAACTGTTGTTATAACCCCTTATGCTTTGTTTGCATACATTTCATTATTAATACTCTGACCTAAGCATAGATGAACATTTTCTCTGTTGTAGAGAGGTAAACAAATCACAACAACACAAACACAAAAGGTATAGAAGTTATCTCTTTGTTATATTACATTGATTGAAACCAATGTAATATAACCACATATATGCTTTTATTTTTGGGTTTGTTGTCGAAGTATGATATGTAAATTTTATATAAACGTGACCAATACAGAGGTATTATATCGATCACGTCTGTCTGTCACAATTGAGATGTTTAATCATTTAAATTTAAAGCAATTGGTTTTCCCGATTCATCTTACCATACGCATATAAACTAAACATGCTTATAAATAAGTACCAGCGTTACCGCGTATGCCTTAAGTTAGAAAGAAACTTCGTACCGATTAGTTTCGCAATTCTATAATACGTTTATTCATATTAAAAGTATTCACACAGCCGTGAATTGGCGAGAAATATCACGGATTTCACGCAAATTTAACGCGATGTGGTACAAATATGTCCGCACGAATTTTATCTAAGGTAACTCAAATGTGTTTATATAATATTTTCCAGGGTGTAGAACCGTCCCAAGCTTCGTTCCTGCTATCAATCATCGGTATTACGAACACAATCGGTCGTATCGCCTGTGGCTGGGTGGCTGACTTCCCCTGGATGGACTCGCTGTTGCTCAATAACGTCTGCCTTGTTATCGCCACGGTAAGTTGACCTTCCCAGTAGTCAAAGTCAAATAATTTATTTCAAATAGACCAAACAACAAAAATATAACTTAAGGGTTTAACTTATGTACGTCAGTCTGTTTGTCGATCATCTAGTGTCCTATGGAGAAGAACGAGCAAGAATCTCCATGGCTACTGTTTTTCAATCAGTTTCATGATTCAATGTTAACTTGATGCTTGTAAAGAGTAAAAACATAAGGAGCTTGCCTTATATGTATGTACTGCTGTGAATATACCAATTGTTGTGAATGCAAAACTCTGATTTTCTATGTGTTTTTTCTGTTATCTCTTAATTATTTACCTGATTAATATTATTGAATTTCCCTATATGAATATATAATTTTTACTCGGGCACACCGAGAGATAAGGCAAGTCAATAATAAACAATTATTATTCTCAATTTTGTTTCAGATATCAGTTGGACTAACTCCTTTCTGCACCACTTACGCCACGTACGTCGCTATTGCCATCGCCTTCGGAATCGCCATTTGTAAGTTTTTTTACACTCCTGACTTTGTTATAATGATTTTGTTTAAGTCATGCTATATGACTTAACTCTAAATCCGTAAAAAAGTACATTATTGGCATGAAAACCAAACTTGTGTACAATATTTTAGATGAATCGATCATTTATTTAATAGTTAACAAATTCACATAATTAAAAATAAACATACAGTACAAAAATTAATACACAGCAAGAACAATAAAACTTGAAAAAAGGAACTCACAAGAGCGACTAACTTTTACAATACATATTTTTTTACTATTGTTTTTATTTATTGATTTATCAATAAAATCTGATGACTTATATCTTGTATTGTATGCAATTAAAAGTTTTTTTTATTAAAAGAATATTTTTGCCTTGGTCTAATACTGTTCTAATCTAAATAATACGTCATTTTAATTCTAACCATGTGTGTGTGATATTTTTCAGCTGGCTACATCTCTTTGACATCGATCATTCTAGTAGACTTACTAGGTCTGGACAAACTGACAAACGCCTTCGGTCTTCTCATTCTCTTCCGTGGTGCGGCCGCCATGATCGGATCCCCACTAGCCGGGGCCGTGTACGACGCTACGAAAAATTATGATGCTTCATTCTACATGGCTGCTGCATTCTTCTTAGCTAGTACACTCACGTCTTTCGCTGCGCCTTTGTTCCGCAGGTAAGATTAATCTTATTAAGTGCGGTTTTTTTGGAAGGAATACTTGATACTTCATACTTTAAAAGTTGTAAGTAAGGCAACATTTTGAAAAGCGTACCAATAATGCCTATACATGAGCATGCGTAAGTAAGGATGAAGCAAATAAAGTAATATACAACATTTCTTTATTATACTGACTCCTCAGCTTAATGGAAGACAGACGTGACTAATATGTAGGTGTCAAAATATTTCTTAAAATAGGAATTGTCCTTGATGGCTTGATTTTTTTTTGTGTCCGAAACCAGAACAGGGTTCGAATAAAAAAACTTGGTTAATGTTAGATTAGAAGACTCTTAAATGTTAAAAGGGACAGAAAAAAACTACAGAAAACTTTACCACAACCTGTTTCCAAATAACCCATTACACATTAAATTCTTCTTTACATTACAGAAAGCAAGAAGAAGTCCAGCAACCAATGGACGTGTTGACCCCTATTGACGAAGACTTGGAAGAAGGTGAAGAGGAGGATGAAGACGACACTCCCATCACTATGGGAGCTGCGCTGGCACAGCGTCCCCCCGCCATAGTGCGTACTGCTGCCTCTCCCTCAGATCCCCCCTCCCCCGACCAACCCACCCCCCAGAGAGAAAGCGTACTCTAAACCTCCAAACCATTAAAGACCGGAATTAATAAACGATCTCAATCCAAAATGTAGTCATGTGTCAAGATCGAATTGTGTATAAACTTTCTATATCAAATCGATTTAGAGATTATGGATTAAGATCGAGTATTAATTTCCATGTTAAGTCACATAGCTGTATCCGCCGTTACATCCGAATTTGTAATGTTAATCTTGCCCTCTGATTGCAAACAACAGACTTAAAAATAACTGCTCAATAATGTCTCCCTCAAAAGGAGGGGGTTTGCAATAACCCGCGTGCTTGGGATAGCAAAATGTTGCACTATTATTTATAGATAATATTTGTAAGTATCTCACTAGTAGACATTAAATTACTAAAGTAATATTATCATTGTTTGAACTGGGTTTGATAATCGATTCATGTATCTAATTTATACAAATCACAAAAGCCAAATGTAGACTGTGAAACTGCATTTTTGTATGAAAAACATTTTAAAAATAGTGCAATATTTTTTTGGTCTGTGAATTCCAGAGAAAGTTATCAAGTTTACAAGCAACAGTTGTCTTAATGACTTTATTTAAATTTAATCAGAGGGTAAACTAAATTAACATTTAAAAAGGTGGTTATAAAGTCTAATATGACTTGTAATATGAGGAAACAAATAATCTTATGAGAAACTGTTATGAAGATTAGTCGGCTGATTGGGTGAGAGAGAACCATTGTTTTTCATTTTGTCGTTAAAGATCTCGGATTTATTTCAAATATGGAAACCTAGTACTTACTAATTTAAAAAAAAGTATATAATTTTTGTCTTCCTATCAGCCAGTACGCTTTTACTTACATGTACTAATTATTCGAAATTAATAATTTAAACATACGTCGATTTGACATCACCAAATTGATGCTACGTTAATGCCGAATTAGCCGACGGTATTCTACCTCCAAATATTGGGCGTCTTAACGAAAATATAGGTGATTTGATATACAATTAGATTTCACGAACCCTTTTTATTCTCCAAATACTAAAATAATACGATCTCACTACATTGGAGATGCTGTGATAAGGTTTCTTGAAATCCATTAGGTATTTATTATTTTATCGTAATGTGTACGATACAAAAATGAGCCAACGAAATGAATTATTTTCTAACAGTAATGTACAGTGCTATTAAATATTAAGTTAATATTAGAAAATAACTCATTTTGTTGAAGAAAATATTATGAAACACATAAATGCGAAGATTTATACGAAGTTACCATAAGTTAATGACATAAATAATAACTGGAATTGACTGCAAGCAATAAAGCGTCTATGTATATTCGCTTTGCATTTCGAAAATAGAAGGGATATGTGAGGTTCTGTATTCCAACGTGCCATATATGTGTCGTGGTGCTACGTCAACAAGCGATGTTAAAACATTCATGTGTAACTAATACTCAAACTGCAGTTTTTGTGATCAGAAACTAAAAATGTCCATAATTGTCATTAGCAATAATGTTAGTACTTATAGGCTATTAAGTACTTAGGAGATATAGAATGATACATAGATATGTAGGCACTATTCTCACCTTCTATACAATCATATCATACTGGATTGATTTCTTTCGAAACGGACAATAAGATTATATAAAGAGGTCTAAAATTTATTCATGTTTTCATTGACAAAAGTTTTAAATCGATTTATACAAATATAACAATGTAAATAGTATGCACAGTTGTAAATATAAGTTGCGGTTAGGCGTCGGGTACTTAGTGAAACAAATTTATTTGTCCCGGTGGTAAAGAAGCGGCTAAACTCTGTCGTCGAAGATTGATGAAACTTCTGAAAGGAACGAGGAATAAAAGTATATCATATTTTAAGGGTCAATCATATACGTGAATAACTACTTTTAGTTACTCCAAATATTTTAATAAAGTACCTAAGAGTCATTAAAACGAAATTTACGTGTATATGGACAAAATGTACCCTTAAAATATGAAACAACTTTTATATTGTCGCCGTTTTTCAATTTGTCTCCTTCTTGGTATGAATTTTGAAACTAGACAAGGGACTATCAATTTATACGACTAAACCCTATTAACATATTTTATAGTGTGTGTGTACATCGTGTTAATGTAGCATTTTGCCTTTAAACTTGCTAGGATATGTTAACTTTTCGAGCTTGGCTTTTTTCTATACGACTCAACGACGAGAGAAATGTATGAAGCAGATCTTAAGCGTCATTTGCGTGCACTTATTTATAAAAGTACAATGCGCATTAGTGACCTTTCCCACTAAATCTTTGACATTGTATAGAACTCCTGTAGTGCCATTGTGACGAACAAGTACTTGTGTAAATCCGCTAATATTAAGTGAGTTTACATAGAAGTGAGGGAATGTAACGCAGTCAATTTGTATGAGCATCTAACACAATACCAAACACTCGACTGTTAGGTGTCGTCGTAGGCTTATGTACTTGCCACATTAGTATGTATATATCTGAACTATAGGATATATATTTTTGTCATAGATATTTTTTCTGTCAATAAACTGCATAATTTAGCTTTAAGCGTTAGGTGTACTCTATCATTAGGACGTGAAAGGAAATTAGATGTTAGGAGATGGTATTATGTGATAAAAGTGAAAAAAATATTGAGAATATAATATTTCTTTTTTTAACAACCTGTATTGTATGCCTATAAGTAAATGATAATTTTAATGAAGTTTCTTTTATAAGATAATGTAATCTGAGATGAAGTTACAAAGTGTATAGAACGTATTAAGAAATATTCAGAAAAATATGAATTAATGTTACTGTTGTTATATAGCTTTATGTAAAAACCAAAAGTGTTATTATGTTTTTAAGATTAAAAATTATTTAGGTGTCGAATGAAGGTAACCGAAGTGTTTAAAGTTTGTCGTAATGCGACAAAGTAAAACCAACCCTGTTGACTACATATTTTGGTCTAATTTCTACGACCGTGAATACAATCATGAATTTGTAATATCTCATGATTATTTTTAGAGGCGATTTTTATGTATTAACTTTGAACGGAGAAGCACATAATATATGATGTCATTATATGTGAGTGTCTTTATATTATTTAATTACATTTTTATTCAGTATTGGCTCAAAGTATTGTTTATTCATTTGATGTGTTATTGAGCTGTTTACCTATAAGTTAAACATGTGATTATGTATTGGTTAGATATGTTTTGATTGAGCGCATGCATTAAATTATGAATTATTAAATGATAACATCGGTATAATAGTTTTATTTTGACTCGTGTGTGTAAACAGCTCAGCAGATGTATTTTGTACTTAGCATTTTAACTGTGTGTAGTATTAAATCGTGTGTTAGTAGAAGTTTTGCCTTAGGCATTGTTTGTTATCATGTATTTAGCTTACATGGTGAAAGTAACTTCATATTTCTAGAGTCTGAATTGTTCACAAAATCATTGTTTCTATACTATGCATTGTTCTTATCTGCTCAATTTGTAACTAACATGGATATGGTCTGAGATTGAAAATGATTGGATGCCAATTTAGCCTCGAGGAGTTATTTAATTCTTCATGCACTTATTTTTGTTAGTAGTTATTTAGGATGTGTAAATTTCATTATTTTTCTTACACAATTCGAATTTTGAAAATTTCGAAATTTCGAATAATTCTTCTTTAATTAATTATTATATTTTTATTTGTGTAACTAAACCTTAATTGAACCAAACAATGTAAGTTATAGAAAAGTTATCACGGATTTATTTAAAATAATGAATTGACCAAAACTACATTCAGTTAAAATGTTAATTTTAAACGATTTTAATTCAATGAAGCCTAGCGCACGCTTGCTTGCGCTAAAGGTACATGATGCAAAGAAGCTTATTGTTGACAAAGTCCACCGAAATCTTTTGTAAATAACAGATTCATTAAATGATAATGATGACTGATATTCGCAGTTTTATTTTTAATTCGTGTATGATTCATTGGATATCGATATCTGCACCTATCAAATGCCGCGCGATTTCACCCTCTGCTCGGCTCCTATTAATCGTAGGGTGAATTTTGAAAATTTAATAGCCTGTAGCACTCAAGAACATTGTAGCAATCTATCAGTGAAATAATTTTTGAGATCTGACCTGACCACCGATTCCCAAGATTACCCTATTATTCTACATACAAACTTACAAAATTTTACCTCTTTATAAGACTAGTATAGATTATAATTGTACTTTACTGCAACTTAAGTAGATAAACAACTGAGAACTTTCCTGTTACTAGAACTTGCATGTGCGTCGTAAGTTTATTTAGAAACAACATCATACCCAGACCAAGTCAAGAAATTATCGTCAACAAAAATAACTGACTTAGGTATTCTCTGCTAATACCAATAATATTATTTACATTTTGAAATGAGCACCTGGATTCTCTGTTGGATTATTCTACTTTAAAGTTGCAAAAGTGTCAGAATAAAGATTTAAAAAAATAAAAAAAACTTTATCTTTTAAATTTTTGAACAAGTAAATTAATATCGCGATATGATATCAACCAGCATTTTGATCTCACTATAGATACTGTGACAGAAAACTCTTTGACATCATGACGTCAATGGATGGTTGTCAAACGTTGCCTAGAGATTGTAAATTTCGTCGTGAATTGTCAACACGAGTTGGTGTAATCGGTAAGGCGTGTGGATTACACCACAGAGACCCCGAGTTCGAGTCCCGCCGTAAACATGAAGTTTTTTAGTTGATGGAAGTTTTGTCGAACTTTCTGGAATATTTGAGTGAAAGTGATGAAAAATTAAGGAGCGAGAAGGAGAATAAATAAAAATGAATAACGAAATTATTGGAAGGTTCTGGAGGCATGACGATCAAAAAGAATAACGAAATTGAATGTTCTAGAACCTGACCGGGGGTATATAAGCGGGACTGCGGCTCACCGCTGGCAGTTGTGTTCTAAGTCTAAAGCGATTCGGAAGAAAAGGAAGAAGTGAAAAAGAAGAAAAGTGAGTGAAATAGTGAAGTGCAGTGAAATAGTGAAGTGCAGTCAGTTAAGTGAGTTAAGCCAGCGTGAACGGCAAAGTTGTGTCAGTCGGCCGGGCTCTGCTGGAGAGGAACGCCGATAACTTAACTCCGTGGACGCTGTAACTTAAGTGCAATAGAAAGTCTGAAAACCGGTATTAGTGTTTCATTTCATCCAATCCCGTTACCCAAGCCCGCATAGTCAGGAACGTGACGCCAGGCACGTAACATTTGGTGTC